ATAATTACTGTAAAAAATGATGAAGGAAGTTTAAATAGCTTACATTGCATGTTAATACAATCTGAGGCATGTCATAGACCATTACTATAAACTGTCTTTTTGGTTTTTGAGGGTCTGTGATCACTATATAGATCAGGCTGGCTTTGAACTTGTAGTGATCTTACCTTGCCTTTCGAAAGTTGAAATCACAGGCATGAACCACCTTACCATGCTGTTTAAAATTGTTTAAATGTCTGTGGTTTGAGGGAAGTCGACATTGATCAGGAGATGGAATGCAGTTCTTTAGCTTATATCAAATTTCCTTAGTTGTTTTTTTTTTCAACTATTTTTTTATGTATATGAGTGTATTGCCTGCATGTATGTGAGTGTACCAATGTCATGCAGTGCCGCGGAGGTCAGATGAGGGCTTCAGATTCCTGTGGAACTGGAGTGAGGGATGATTTGTAGTTGCCATGTGGGTGCTGGGAATCGAACCTGGGTCCTCTGCAAGAGCAGTTAGTGCTCTTAACTGCTGAGCCATCTCTCCAGCCGCCTTAGTTTTTTTAAAGTCTTACTCTTGGTCAAAACCATTAAGAACAGGCAGATTAAAGGAGGCATTTTGAGATAATTTCAATATAATGCAGTATCTTTTCTTTAAAAAATGTTTATTTGCAGTTGGGGTTGCATGTGCCTTGGCATGTATTTGTAGGTCAGAGGACAACTTGTAGGAGGTAGAATTCTCTTTCCACCATGTGGGCTCTGGGGCTCAAACTCAAGTTCTTGATTTTAAGCAGGTACCTGGCAAGGCCCTAGTAAAGTATCTAAATGTATCATTAGAATGTTGACAAAAAGAATTATCTCACTCTATCATTTATTTCTGTAATTTTGGTGATTGTTATAAAGTACCTGTGTACACTATTTGCTAGTCATTACTTTTTTAGTGATTTGTTTCTATTGTGGTTTGTTGGTTTTTTTTTCAATATAGTCAATGTTTTCTTACAGAAGTTTCTTAGGTTATTAAAGCATGAGTAGTAAGTACATTAAAATACCACACCACAGAGACTGGAAAATCCAGTTTAGTTTCTCTCAAACTTTTGCTCTTTTCATGCTCATAGTAGGCTGTGTGTGTGTGTGGGGGGGGGTTCTCCTTGTAGCCCCAGCTGAACTGGAACTTGCTAAAGACATTTTCACTGAACTGAATGCGTTCTTTGGGTAAACTATGAAGTCATGACCTCTCAGTGGAGTAGTATTTTGCATGTTGGTTCATTTAACAGGTATTTGTTTTTGCTGTCAGGTCATGTGGCATGTTGTATATCTCTAGTGAGTAGTCAAAAAGATGTTTAGGTGATGGTAAGTGCTTTGTAGAAGTAGGGTGAGAGACGATTGTCCTTGGCTGGATGGCTCCTTTAAGGCCTTTCTGGAGAAGGTGATGTCTGAGTAACAAACTGAGATCTGAATATAAAGCACAGTCCAAAATAGGCAACGTTTTCAGTGGGGAACCTTTACGGCAAAGACCATAGGATTTTAAGAATGCTTTGGGAATGGGGCTGGAGACATGACGGCTTAGCAGCTGCTCTTGCAAAGGGCC